TCCCGGAGGAAGAAGGGGACCCAAGAGGTGGAATCCGTGGAAGTGCGGTTGTTTCCCCTTTTTATAGTTTTGGTGATGGAATGTAGGTTGGAAGGCCCGAGGGGTGGGACACAGGTGGGCCAAAGAAGTAATCTGGTCAGGAAGGACTTCATTATCACTTCTTTGAGGTGGACTTTGGCCTAGGGCCTCTTTAGGACTTCATTAACATTCCATGAGTTGTCCTGTTTTCCCTGAGTCATTCCCAGCATGGCCTCCATTTTAGATTTCACTGGATATTAGACCCGGTTTACCTAACTACACTGACTACCTAAGTTTAAATCTGGCTTCATTACCACCTCCCCACCCCCGGAGAGCCCACACTTAGTTCTTGGCGGGGAAGGGGGGGAGCCACAGGGCAGCCATCAGGCCTGGGAGACTTCCAGGACAGGGAGGTGATGAGACCTCGCCGTCCTGGGAGGGCTCAGCAGAAGGGCTGAGGTCTCCTGGAGACAAGCCTGGGAGACGGGGTCACTCATACCCCATCCCAGGGAATGACTCCCTCTGGGCAGAGGATAGTGGAGATGATCACTGCACCAGTCAGCAGGGACAGGGGTTCAGGTGCTTCAGCCATTGCAGTCAGAGCACACTTGCACACAAGGCACTTAAAGTGTGCTTTTACTTATAGATGGAAAAGGGGACAACAGAGCTGGTCCCCCAAGGCTCAGGAACGTGGCCTGTGCCCCACTTGCACCACCACTGTGGAACCTTGAGTGACAGCCTCCCCTGGGTTCTATACCTCAGGTGCCACAAGACTCCTGGCCAAAGTTTCCAAGGACAGCCTGTTGTGCTTGTAAGAGAAGGCATAACAAACTCAGGCTGCCCTGGTCAGCACCTCCCCAACTCAGGATGCTGCCTGCCCTGGAGAGGCAGGAATAAGGCCTRGCTATTTTGGATAGTTCCTCCCTATCTCAGAATGTTGCCTCCCAGTACATTCTAGGTGCCCTTGAGGACTACGGGAGAGACCTCCCCCTGCTCCCCAACTGATCAACCAAGGCCGCCCTAGAACTGTCCTATGAGCCCTGTAGGACTCATAGGACAGAGCTCTCACTTTCAGGCCAAGGGCAGCAGAAAAGAGAAAACCTCAGGGACCCCACCTGGTTATGATCTGTGGCCCATTTTCCAGCCTGAGGAGGCCCATGGTGTGAAGCCTGGGGATTGGGGGGCCCAAAGACAGTCTACCTGATCTGATGGCCCAGGCCAGGCAGCTTCAGTGCAGGGCCAGGTGAGGACTGGTGGATGGCAGAGGGTGCCATGGTGGTGGGTTTGAAGCTGGGTCTCAAAGGATCCAGAATTGTGGAATTCGGAACCTGCTTCTAGAAGACAGTCAGGCACACAGTTGGAGCTCAATCATGTTTAATCATTTAAAGTTTACATTGTTCACTCTTAAAATTTGAAAAGTGTAAAATAGCACGTCACTACACCACATTCCAGAGATGGGGTGCTATCCTTCCACCGGTGCCTGGACAGGATTTCTATCAATTTATTTTAATCAGCTCCTTTGTCTTCGCCTAGAAGAGAGAGAGAGCTCAGCAGAGCCCCATGAGGCGGGCAAGGGAGACCAGCTGGCAGGACTAGGCTTCAAGGGCCATGGAGGGGCTACATCCTTCTCCCAGACCCTACCTGAGCCTCCCCCTTGGTCACGTGCTCTGCTGCCTCCCATGCCACCCTAGCCCAGGCCCACGTGCCATCAGGCAAGAGGCTGCCCATTCTGACCTGCTTTATGGCACAATAGGTGAAGCCAAAAACKAGAGTGACCACCAGCACAGCCCCGATGAGACACGCCATGGTCCCACCACACGTCAGATTCACAGACGCACCGAACATGTTCTGGACAGGGGAAGAATGGGTCAGCTGACCTAAGTGACCCTGTGTCCACCCTACATATTCAAGACATGGAGGGGACTATGGGCTCAGGTCCCGGAGGACACTAGGGTAAGACCAGTGAAAAATACAGTGATGTAGAGATGACCCCACTCCACCTTGCTCAATGGGAAGAATAGGGCCCTACTCTTCTCCTTCTCTGCAGTGACTAGCTGGTGGCCTCAGGAAAGTGACTTAGCCTTTCTAAGCCCAACCTCCTACAGTTCCTGGAGATCCCACCCTCCACCCCTGGGCTGGCAGGAACCTGGGAGACATATGGAGGCACTCAGAGCAGGCCTGGCTGGTGAGAAATCTCACAATGAGGGCTGACATGCTACAGAGGGGTTCAAGGCTTGGGTGTCCAAGGTCCCTCTGATGCCCCATCACTGCCTCTCCAGGCCTGGGAATGAAGGTTGAGGGCTCCTTTGGGTTTCCTGAGAGCTTTCAGGGCTGTGGCTTGGGACACCCTCAACTCAGGAGTCTTGGGGTCTGAGTCATCCTGGGTCTACCCAAGTAACTAAGGAAGTGACCAGGTCCCGCTCCTGTCTTCAGGAGCGAGTGGCTGGCCATCATGAGACCAGTCTTTGACTCTTACCACAGATAGGGATATCCAGGATCCGAGTTCCATCTTCTTTGTAAGCCTGAAAGAATTCAACCATCTGGGAGAAAGCCCATGTCATGTTCTGTCACTCACTCCATCTTCTTGGGAGCCCTGGAGCCCCAGACCATGGCAGATCCAAACTCACCAGAACCATACTTGGACAAGAGGCAGAGTGGGCTGCCCAGGACTCCTGGGCTGTCCCAACCAAGCCTCCTTGTGTCTGGAGCATTCCCTGGGCCTCAGATCTGTGAAGGATCAAGGCCTCTGCAGGCCTGGGGGAAAGTRCTCAAGGGCCCTTCAGGGCTGAGTGTGAGGGCCATTGCCTCCTGAACTCCCCAGCCCAGGATCCCCTCCACCAGCCTCAGTGCACTGGGGTGGTCATAGAAGCTACTCTCCACCTACCTCTCCCTACATCCTTCCCTCTGCCCCACCCTGTAGCTTCCAGCATAGGTCCTGAGAAAAAGCTGCAGAAGGTTGGAGCAGAGAAGGGAACCCAGCTGTCTCCAGCCTCAAGTTGCTAGTGGGGCAGGTTGAGGCCAACCGCTGCCRTTTCTTCTTCAAGCTACAACCCTGTCTGGATTCTCCCAAGGCCTTTGCAAATTGAGATGGCGACAGCTTCCCTTGGTGTCAGCCCCTGAGGCCTCCTGGCTTCTCATCTTGACTCACCTTGGAAAACATTCCGTCCTCTGGGAAGGAGCCCCCTCACTGCTCCCCTTTCTGAAACCCGCCCCCTTCTGCCTGAACACTGAGCACCCAGGGATTGATCCCTCACCTCTTCCTCTGCTCCTTGGGTACTCGACGTCACCCAGCAGCCCAGTGCTTGTTCCTAGCCCATTTACTCTGCTGTCCTGGCTCCCCCACCTCACTGTTCCCACAGAGCCATGGGTCCTGGGAACCTGCAGTAGCACAAGCCTGAGCGGGCCTGTGCTTGGGTGGGGCAGTACAGCCAGAAGCTGGGCCACCCTGGGGTAGGTGTGGAGGAAGAGGCAGCCCTGGTCTTCAACCCACCCTCTGCCACTTCCTCCCCAGTACCCCTGCCTCAGCCCCCCCATTTCTAACCTTCCACAGCCTTGACACCCCATGGCCCTGTTGTCCTTTTAGAAGAAAAGGTCTGACTCTTACCTGCAAAGAGGGCCCCTGCTCCACCTGGGCCTCCTGTTAACTGAGAACCCTTTCTGGCCTTTACCACCCCTCCCCAGAGACCTTTTGGCTTCCCAGACTAACCCCTTGCCCTTACCAATAACGAGGGACTCCCAAACTCAAAAATGAGCCACCCGGGGGACTCCCACTCCTGGTAATGAGCTTCTTGAGGGACTCCCACCCCTGGGGGGGGTCTCCCTCCTCCTTCCTTGCCCTTACCTTGCTGAAGAGAGTAATCCGCTCAGTTGCAAAATATTTTGTGTCTCAGACTGGGAACTCAAAACCAGAGCTGAGCTGCTGGCCCCACCCTATTTCCTCTTTTCTGAATTGACTCATTAAAATGATGATGGTTTATCTGAAATCATGTGACACAGATTGGCTCTGTGAAGGCTCTGGGCCAGAGGCCCCAACGAACTTCCTCTACCTGCCCTCATGCCCCATCCTAAATGAGCCTGCCACCCAAACTCCTCCCATGATCTGGTCCAGCTAAACACTATGAAACCCAGACCTTGTTAGAGCCCATAGTCTTTTCCCTCTCAAAAATGTGCCCCTCTGTTGCTTAATAAAGCATCACTGATCCATTGAAATCTGTCTCCACTTCTTTTTCTTTTTGTATTCCCTTTCATGTGCTTTCATTTGGTTCTAAACTCAAGAATGGAGTTCAGGACTCTTTACCCTTCACTGTCCTAAAGAACCTCTACCACTTTTCCACATTTCCCTCYCTCTCTGCCTTATACTCAAAGAAGGAATCCCTTCATGAATCCTGGGCTAGATTTTTGCTGCCTTACTGCTGTGTGGGTAGAGCAAGGACCTACATAGGGTCTTTCATTGATATTAGAAGCATCTTTCTCCAACCTATCCAATCTAATTCCTTCCCTCCCTCATGTATTCAGACCTCCGGATCAGAGGCTGATTTCTGCCATTTTGTTCCTGCCTGCAACACTGGCCTTCTAGTTCTTCGGAGAGATAAGATCCCTTCCAGTCTCTTGCTGAGATGCCCTGACTGAGACCTTGCTTTTTGGTTCATCTGGACCCTGGGTGTCCTCTACCAATGGGATTGCAGGAAGGGACACCCTGTCATTCTCTAGTGGAACTCTAAGTGCATAAAACTGCTGCAAATCCTGGGCTCAGGGCCTCTCAGTTCTTCCCTCTCCTCCTCCATCAATTGCCAAGGTGACCTGCCTCCAGGGAATTGTTCTTYCCTTCAAGGAGCTGTAGGAGAGTTTAATGAAGTACCTCCTGGGTAGCTCCTTTCCTACCCATTTGGACAGACACAGAGGCACCCCTGGAAAGCTTCTTGCCCACCTTTGGCCCACCTTTTGGTCAGTAATCTTGTAGGTAGGATGGGGGGAGTAGAAAACCTGCTAAATGTTGTATATAATAATTCTATCAAATGGTTCCAGTGTAATGACCCCCACATGCTTTCTTTTCCAAGAAGCCATTTACCTGCAGCCTAGCCTGGCCTCTGAGGACAGGATATGTCACATTCCTTAGCAAGTTTCTACCTGTTCACTACAGGAGAATGCAGGCCCAAAATAATGTTGATAACAGGAACTCAAGTTTTCCTGAGGGAGGAGACTTTTGTGACCTGAAATTCCAGGAGGTTCTCAAGATAGAGCTTCCCTAGCTTTAAAATTAGACTATTTTCTAGACTCTCATAATACACATTGTTTCTCTGTACTCCCCACTCTGGCAGGAAAAAGACCAGAAAATCTGGCCTTTAATTAGAGTAAAACTACCCCTCAGCTCTCTGTCGTAGTTCAGGAACACAAATTGTTTTTTTTCTCTTGTGGAGATGTCACCCAAAACTCCAGTAGGCTTGCCTCCCACTTCAAATTGAGGAGTGTAATATGAAATCATGGTCCTGTGAGTATGAGGACCCAAAAGGACAAAGGGAACATGTAAGAAATTTTAAGGGCACAACTAGCTGACAAATGTCGTTCCTCAATTAAAATAGTTATCAATCTGAATGAGGCTCCRGCCAGAGGTCATGGAAGAAAGGGCAGAAACTACTGACCCCTAGAGTCTCTGGGTTTAGGGAGCTGTCTCCTAGCCAAAGAGACAGTTTTCTTGGCACTGGTGCCTATGTCTCTTTAAAAAAAAATCTTTTTTTTCAGAGGGGATTCTCATCCTCAAAAGTTATAGTAGAGGATGGCATAATCACAGTTGAGATAAAGTGTAGGGCACGTCACATCAGAGAAATAGAAACCTACGATGGAGAAAAGGAAACCTAACTTGCAGACTGATGCTCACTTCCTGGTCTTGGGGCAGCACATGGCTAAGATGGCGCCTGGCGATCAGCCAGAAGGCATTACCGTGGGTTGTGACAAAAAATCGGACCACCTCTAGGATAGGCTCAGAACCCTTCTGTCCTTGTCCTCGTGGACAGCTCCTGTCTCCCCTTCCTGCCTGTAGGATGGGTGCACACGTGAACTCTCCCCACCCTGCTGACCTTTACCCTGATGGCTCCTGTGCCTTATATTAGCTGTGTGTGTTTCCTCAATAAATGAGCTCCAGTCTTGACTGGTCTGCCTGATGCGTCTGATCCATCTTCCTGCAAGGGAGAGCTGGGTGCGGGCGAACCCCGACAATAAAGGAAATGCCTAATAATTTTCTGCATCCAACCTGGTCTAACTACCAACTGCTAAAAACAAACAAACAACAACAACAAAAAAATGATTAAAATGCCCTATGGAGAGGTTGCTCAAAACATCAGCTTTGGGGCTGGGGTTGTGGCTCAGTGACAGAGTGCTCGCTTAGCACATGTGAGACACTGGGTTCAAACCTTAGCACCACATAAAAATGAAATAAAGATATTGTGTCCACTGACAACTAAAAAATAAATATTTAAACAACAACAACAACAACAAAACCCAGCAGCTTCACTTAGTTTTTGCTATCTCTATCTCACCAAGGCTTGCATTGAAAAGTAAATTGTAGAGGTCTGCAGGAAAAAAAAAAATGTCACTTTTAAATGCCAGCCCCCACCTTTCTGACCCAATCATTTGTTATTTATATGGTGGGACCAAATGGCTGGCTATCTTACCGTGCTGCTTTTTTTTTTTTTAGAGAGAATTTTTTAATATTTATTTATTTTTTTAGTTTTTGGCTGACACAACATCTTTGTTTGTATGTGGTGCTGAGGATGGAACCCGGGTGCCCCATGCTGTTTTCTTAACAAGTTTCTCCCTAAACTCTACAGGACAGGGAGGGAAAAATGAAATGATCAATTCTTCTTTACCTAGAGAATCTTTACCTAAGAATTTCAGGGCTCACCATTCCTTTATCTTTTTTTTTTGGTAATGGGGATTGAACTCTGGGACACTTGACCACTGAGCCACACGCCCAGCCCTATTTTGTATTTTATTTAGAGCAGAATCTCACTAAGTTGCTTAGCACCTCATCTTTTTTTAAAAATATTTTATTTTAGGTGTTGTACATAATGTCTTTATTTTATTTATTTACTTTTATGTGGTGTTGAGGATCGAACCCAGGGCCTCCAACACGCTAGGTAAGCACTCTACCACTGAGCTACAAGCCCAGCCCCAGCACCTGACTTTTGCTGAGGCTGGCTTTGAACTTGTGATCCTCTTGCCTCAACCTCCTGAGCTGATGGGATTACAGACATTTAATCACCATTCTTTCAATATCTAAACTAACTCTCTGAGTCAAAAAGTAAACTTGGGGGGCTGGGGATGTGGCTCAAGCGGTAGAGTGCTCGCCTGGCATGCGTGTGGCCCTGGTTCGATCCTCAGCACCACATACAAACAAAGATGTTGTGTCCGCCGAAAACTAAAAAATAAATATTAAAAAATTCTCTCTCTCTCTCTCTCTCCCTCCTCTCTCACTCTATCTTAAAAAAAAAAGTAAACTCTGATCTCATAACAGCCTTGTAATTTTTTAAGAACTCTTTTTTTTAAAATTCTATATTTTTGGAAATCATGATTTTATGATTTGATCCTACATGACTAAAGCAATATATTTTTCCAATCAGCCTTATTTTATCTAACTGTAGAGGTTTTTGCACTCTGTCTTTGTTCAGGGATCAGTTTTCAAGGGTTAGCTCTCAAATGCAGTGGGAAAATTTCCTCTTACAAGATCCTAAATAGGACTTCGACATGGTGATGCTGGAAATAAATCTAATAGAAGCTTTAATAAACATCTATAGTGTTACCTCCTACCTGTGGAGCTCTACCTACAAAAAGCTAGAAGATATTGCTCCTTGTCTGTCTTGTGTATGTGCGAACACATGTATTGTGTTGTTATGTCTATATGTGCCTGTGTCCATATGTCATGTACATGGTATCAAAACTGGCATATAGATATATGATTGCTCATAAATTAAAATATAAAAGACGGGCTGGGGATGTGGCTCAAGCAGTAGCGCGCTCGCCTGGCATGCGTGCTGCCCGGGTTCGATCCTCAGCACCACATACCAACAAAGATGTTGTGTCCGCCGAGAACTAAAAAAATAAATATTAAAAATTCTCTTTCTCTCTCTCCTCTCTCTTTAAAAAAAAATATAAAAGAAAAATGGATCAGATACCTTTTAATTTACATGATTTAAGAAGCTCAATGTAAATTAGGTAAATAAATGAGAGTAAAGATGTCTTTAAAATTACTAACTTACAAGATTTTCTAGGTGGTAAACAATAGAGTGTTAATTTCTATAAAATGTCTAAAACATAATATCCATTGCTTCTAGGATTTTTATTCAACAAGGAAGACATGGCTAGTACTGTTAACTATAATTGTCTGACAGCTTGGGTTTTACAGTTAAAAATAAGTAAATTAGATTTAACATAATTGGAATTAATCATAAATGTGTTTGTTATAGACATCTTTTTAATTTACAAAGTTAAGGTGCTAACTACTCTTTTTAAATTTTATAAGGTAACATATTTAAACATTACGTGTGTTTTCATAAATGGGTAAATGGAAAAATGTTTAAGATTGTTTTGTCTGTGTCTTTACTGAAAACAAGGTTAAGTTTTATTTAGAGCAGCTAACTGGTCTTAAAGGAATTAGGGTTTGTACAACTCTGGTTAAACAACAACTGTTGTTTTAAAGTATTACATTACATTTCAGATACTGAATTTTTCTTTAAAAGCTAAACTTGGCCAATATAAAAACATTAATGTGATTGTGGTTCCATTATTGGCCTCTTTGTATGTTAAGAGGCCAGTGATCTTCCAAGTATACAAGACTTTGAAGTATAAGATTTAGAAGAACATTTTACCAAGCTGGTGTTCTTCAAATTAATGTTTAAAGGTTTTGGATTATAAAAATTATGTTTCTTAGT